CCAGTGACATTCATTAAAGAGACTGAAAAATCTACCGTGAAATTTATATGGAAACACAACAGGCCACGAATAGCCAAGGCAATACTCAGTCAAAAGAACAATGGTGGAGGTATCACGATACCTGACTTCAAACTATATTACAAAGCAATAACAATAAAAACAGCATGGTACTGGCACAAAAACAGACATGAAGATCAGTGGAACAGAATAGAGGACCCAGATATGAAGCCACACAACTAGAACCAACTTGTCTTTGACAAAGGAGCTAAAAATATACGATGGAGAAATAGCAGCCTCTTCAACAAAAACTGCTGGGAAAACTGGTTAGCAGTCTGCAAAAAACTAAAACTAGATCCATGTATATCACCCTATACCAAGATTAACTCAAAATGGATCAAGGATCTTAATATCAAACCACAAACTCTAAAGTTGATACAGGAAAGAGTAGGAAATACTCTGGAGTTAGTAGGTATAGGTAAGAACTTTCTCAACGAAACCCCAGCAGCACAGCAACTAAGAGATAGCATAGATAAATGGGACTTCATAAAACTAAAAAGCTTCTGTTCATCAAAAGAAATGGTCTCTAAACTGAAGAGAACACCCACAGAGTGGGAGAAAATATTTGGCAGCTACACATCAGACAAAGGACTGATAACCAATATATATAGGGAACTTAAAAAACTAAATTCTCCCAAAACTAATGAACCAATAAAGAAACGGGCAAGTGAACTAAACAGAACTTTCTCAAAAGAAGAAATTCAAATGGCCAAAAAACGCATGAAAAAATGCTCACCATCTCTAGCAATAAAGGAAATGCAAATTAAAACCACACTAAGATTCCACCTCACACCTGTTAGAATAGCCATCATTAGAAACACCACCAACAACAGGTGTTGGTGAGGATGTGGGGAAAAAGGAACCCTCTTACACTGCTGGTGGGAATGTAAACTAGTACAACCACTCTGGAAAAAAATTTGGAGGCTACTTAAAAATCTACACATTGATCTACCATTTGATCCAGCAATACCACTCTTGGGGATATACCCAAAAGAATGTGACGCAGGTTACTCCAGAGGCACCTGCACACCCATGTTTATTGTAGCACTATTCACAATAGCCAAGTTATGGAAACAGCCAAGGTGCTCCACCACTGATTAATGGATTAAGAAAATGTGGTATCTATACACAATGGAATTTTATGCAGCCATGAAGAAGAACGAAATGTTATCATTTGCTGGTAAATGGATGGAATTGGAGAACATCATTCTGAGTGAGGTTAGCCTGGCCCAAAAGACCAAAAATCGTATGTTCTCCCTCATATGTGGACATTAGATCAAGGGCAAACACAACAATGGGATTGGACTTTAGCACATGATAAAAGCGAGAGCACACAAGGGAGTGGTGAGGATAGGTGAGACACCTAAAAAATTAGCTAGCATTTGTTGCCCTTAACGCAGAGAAACTAAAGCAGATACCTTAAAGCAACTGAGGCCAATAGGAAAAGGGAACAGAACAGAGAAAAGGTTAGATCAAAAAGAATTAACCTAGAAGGTAACACACATGCACAGGAAATCAATGTGAGTCAACTCCCTGTATAGCTATCCTTATCTCAACCAGCAAAAACCCTTGTTCCTTCCTATTATTGCTTATACTCTCTACAACAAAATTAGAAATAAGGGCAAAATAGTTTCTGCTGGGTATTGAGGGGGAGAGAGGGAGGGGAAGGAGTGGGTGGTAAGGGAGGGGGTGGGGGCAAGGGGGGGGAAATGACCCAAGCCTTGTATGCACATATGAATAATAAAAATAAAATAAAATAAAAAAAGAATTAACCTAGAAGGTAACCACACACACAGGAAATCAATGTGTGAGTCAACTCCTGTATAGCTTCCTTATCTCAACCAGCAAAAACCCTTGTTCCTTCCTATTATTGCTTATACTCTCTCTTCAACAAAATTAGAGATAAGGGCAAAATAGTTTCTGCAGGTATTGATGGGGTGGGGGGGAAAGGGAGGGGGCGGAGTGGGTGGTAAGGGAGGGGGTGGGGGCAGGGGGGAGAAATGACCCAAGCCTTGAATGCACATATGAATAATAAAACAATAAAAAAAAATTTTTAAGAGGGGGAAAAAAAATGCTTTGGTTTGATGGGACAAACATTAAACCAAATTTTTCTTATTTAAAGTAATTAAGAAAAAATTGTAAACAGGTTCCCAGACAGCTTTTTGGGCCCATAAGTCCAATGAACAAGAATAAATTATTGACTTAAATGAGAAAAAAAAAAAGAGATGGAGCAGAGGAGGAGCTCAGCAAACTATACAGCCTTTCTGGAAGCTGAGCCTCTGTCTGGTGATTCACAGTGTGGTACCTGCTTCATGGACTCCCAGATACCCACCAAGCTCCTCCAGCACAGCCAGGACACATATGTAGAGGACAAGAACCCAAGCAAGGGCTCCTCAGCTTCAATCGCACACCCCTATAACTCACTATAACTGCTCAGTCCTGGCACAGCTATCCCGGCCTCTCCTTCCACCCACGCCTGTGCCGTCATTTCCCTCCCTCCATCCAGTCTGGCTCTCTGCAACTCTCTCCTCAAGCCTAACTCACTCTGGCTCCTGCTCACCTCAGAGAAATGGCCTAGTCCACAAAACCTCCTCTGACACCTAGACCGGAACAGGCTCTCCGGGTACCCTGTGCTTCTTCTTGATAACACAAATGTTAATTACTTTAATTAACTTTTAATTACTCATCTAAAACCTACATTCACTATTACTACCATGGGCTCCAAATAGGCAGGAACCAGCACTCTCCATTCACTTGCATGCCTACCACAGCAGAGGACCAGGGTGCTCAGGCAGTGTTTGCCAAGTTGAGCAGAAAACAGCCCCCACACCCCAGTTAGTGTTCTGCAAGAACGCCAACTCCACGGTGGGTCCATTAAGGGCTGCAGAATGACAAAACTGCAGCCCCAAATGCAAGCCAGGTGGTGCTCCCAGCAATACAGACAAATGGAAGGTCTGGACTGTAGTGATGAACATTTCTCAAGCCTAGGAAACAAGATCTAAAAATCACATCTTAAATGTTCACTTAACCATCAACTGCCAGATATAAAGGGCCTGTTTCACACAGATGTTCCTAAGCAATGCTGCACACACACTCTGGGCATGTTCTTATGTGTGTGTGACACTGTGTGTGTGTGTGTGTGTGTGTGTGTGTGTGTGTGTGTGTGTGTGTGTGTGTGTGTGTGTGTGTGTGTTGGCAGGAAATTGCAGGAAGAATCTCTCTGAGGCCAGATGAAGAATCCATTTAGCACAAATTCCATTTCCTCCAGTGACCCTTTCTCCTGGACCATTAACATCGTGGTCATGTCCCTTCGTCCCGCCTTGCTATTAAGAATCACCTGGGTCTTACAACATAAGTTGGCAGTAAAGTAGTTAAGACAAACTTATTTACCACATTAATTAAATGGTCTATTTAACATGGAATATCAATTCTCTAATCACATCTCAGTTGAACATCCTCTTTCAATTAACAACTCTGAGGGCTACTGACAGAGGTTCTACTGTTCCAGACACATTAGGAACATTTTCATTAGCTGTCAAGTGAGGGGTGAGAGACAGAATGTGGGCGCTCTCAAGAGTGGCCTCCACTACTTAAGAGGCGATTAGGGAGTGAGCAGTGGTGGTTCTCATTAGTTGCTTAGTGATGAAAAGACCTCCTATGAAATCACAAATGGAAACAAAGTGTGAAGGGCTACAACAAGGCCAATAAGTGGATATGTTCTCATCCTCAGAAGATGATCTGGTCTCAAGAGAACCCAATCTCTCCAGATCACCAGGATGGGAATCTGAAGCAGACTGGAGACCAGAATGGTCAAAACCATAATCACACAAAGACAAACCAACACCAAGTCAAGAAGCGTTACAATTTGAATATGAAATGTCTCCACAGGCTCGAGTGCAACACTTGGTCTCCAGATGGTGACACTATTTTGAGAGGTTGTGGGACTTTTAGAAGTATGGCATAGCTGGAGGAAGTAAGTTTGAGGGGCATGCTTTTGAAGGCTACACTGGGACCCTACTCCCCTCCTGTCTACCACGAGGTGAAGAAGCTCCTCCGCATGGCTCCCTCCACCATGATGTACCCAAGGACATGGGACCAAGTGACCATGGACTGAAATATGAGCCAAAATCAATTTTCCCTCCCTGAAATACCTTACATTAGGTATTTCATCACAGTGACACAAAAGTAACTAATACAGGAAGGGTCACATAAGCACAAAGGAAAATTGGTTTAAAATTAAATGCTCCAACTCAGGAGTAAAGCCCCTTGGGTGTTTAACTTTCATTCATGGATGAATTAAAAAATATCCCCATCACTTGTCAGATTTTTTTTAAAGCTTAAAACATGCTCAAAACAGGTAGTGTTATATTACAGCTTGCTGTTCTAATATAAATGAAAGAAAAATTTGCAGTATTCAAAAAGAAACAATACTGCCTAAATCTCTGTGAAACTAATTATTTTGCATGTAATTACTTATTCTCACAAAACAAAATGCTAATACTATATCAAAATTGGGCAGGCAGTGAGAGATCACAGAAAGACAACTTGGTTTTGAGCTTGTAAGCAAACCATTCAACTAATACCCTATCACCTTAAGCTGATACACTTAAGTCCAAACCATCAAAGCCAGTGCTCTGATGACCATTAGAAATAAACCAAACTCCCAAATACACTCCTTTCTCTTCATTCATTATTAAAAGGCAGGTATTAACAATTGTGACCAGATCGTAATGTTGTCAGTAGTTGAGCTGAGGACTTAAAGGCATTTTTAAAGCTAGCATCAATGATAAAACTACTCTACCACTACCCTATCATTAATAAATCAAACTTAATGGCAATTTTCAATATTATAGTCGATATAATATGTAACGTTATATACTATGCATATAATTATACATGGTAACACAGTAAATCCACTATCAATGTTTTTGACAAGATCTTACCTAAGTACTCACAAATGAAGACCACAAAGAAAGGAGTGACAAGGTCATTTATCCCCTGAACATATCCACTGGCAGGGTGACGGATAGCCCATATAAACAAGATCCTTTCAAAAATCTGAAAGAAAATGGAACAGGCAATGAAACAAGAAAGAAATGTAGTGGAAACTTTCAAATGTATTCAATCTTTTACTTAAAAAACACACAAATCAGTATTTTTTCTACTCACTGCCCCAATATTAAAATACAAATATAATCAAATACAAATTTGCAGTTTAATTTCTCTGTAGAAGTCTGATGATCTTAACTTTTTATTAAATCACAAGCACTGTGCAGTATTTTACCAACCCCTGGGACCTACCATTCCATCCTATTTGGCTCCCTGGAGCCCCACAGGTCATGAGGATATATGGTAGCCCAGGGCCTTGTGGAACGGCACCAAGGCACCAGGCTTATCAGTGGGTAATTCCTAGCATAGAAGTGAACTGGTAAGTGGGTGGTGGGCAGATGGATGAACAGGTAGATGGATGGATGGATGGATGGATAGATAGATGGACAGATGCTGTGAATTTCTATCATGAGGTAAGTAAATACCATTAAACCACAGGAAAATCATTACCATACAGGAAGGCACAGTTAGGCTTTCAGATACTCAGGCTGTGAGTTAGCTCAGTCTCTTCTCTTTCCTCACAACATTCACATTCAGTTGATCCTTCCTCTTCATCATCCCTCACTCCCACTCACCTTCCTCCATCTTTGTTCATGAGATGGATTTTACCAAGGTGACAAAACACCAGCACCCTAGAGCACCAACACATGTGCATTTATACATGAGCTTCACAGCTTAAAGACCTTTGCCTGCTCACATGATCCATGAGTGTATATGGGTACATAAATCATAGCTTAAAGACCTCTCCTGCTCCACACTGCCCATGTGTGTGTATGGGCACAGATGCCATGGTTTAAAGATCTCTGCCTGCACCACACCACCCGAGCCCAAGGGGCCTTATCAGGATCTGGCCCTGCCCTGAGGTTTTCTCCCAGCCAGCTTCCTCATTTTGTCTGTGCTAAGCTATGGCCCCTATCTCAGAGCCTGCCAGGTCAGCACAGTTCCACTGTTTAGAGGGCCTTTACCACCTTCTGGCTCAGCTCAGTTCCCTGGCCTTGGAGACCCATTTGGAACACTACTTCCTGCAGCTGTCTGCTGCTCCCTCTTCACATTCTTCAGGGAAGAACCAGTCACTTTCTACTCTGTGACCCTCTGGTCTCTCCTCTTTCCTGCAGAGTCACTCCCTGCTAGCTCCTGCATGAACCTGAGCCTCTGTACTGGCCAAGGCCAGGTCTGACTTCTCTGTCTAGGCCTCACATGGGCATGGCGCATAGTAAAGATGATGAAAGCTCCAAAAAATGAATGAATTACAAACTTCCAAACACAGAGAACCTTTTTTATTTCCTCCCAGCACTGGCAAACACACCACACCTTGTGGAAGCAACTACATTTGTACCCTGGGAAGTCAGTCTCTTTCTTCATTGCCTTAGATCATAAATCACATTGGGCTTGATAGTCTGGATTCTAAATCACTGGCAATGCTGGGATTGACAAAGGAGAGAGCTAGGGCAAAGACAGGTGAAAGCTCTTATCCCAAGGCACACGTTCATCAGGGGAAAAATCACCTCTTGAATCCAGAGCCCACTCAAGGCCATAATCCTGGCTATTTGAGAGGCTGAGATTGGGAGGATAGAGATTCAAGGCCGGACCAGGCAAATAGTTCACGAGACCCCACCTCCAAAATAACCAGAAAAAAAACAGACTTGGAAGTGTGGCTCAAGCAGCAGAGCTTCTACTTTGCAAGTGCAAAGCCCTGAGTTCAAACCCCATTCCCTCCAAAAAAAAAAAAAAAAAAACACTTCCCTCCCAAATTATCTGAAAATGTCAGGTGAGGCCAGGTTCTCCCAACCCCTCAGAAAGCCCTGTATGTGTAACACTCTGCTCTGTCATAACAAGCCTTAAAATATTTATCTGTTTTGTTTTGTTTTGCTTTGCTTTGCTTTGTTCTGTTTGTGGTGCCAGGATGGAACCCAGGGCCTCATGCATGCTAAGTAAACACTCTACCACTGAGCCCCACCACCAGCCCTGCTTTCTCATTTTATACCTTGCCTCCACTGTGTAAACTAGGAAGGCATGCCAGAGAGCAAGAGCACTCACTAGATGGTGCCCAAGCATCACCTGCAGCCCCCTTACCATGTGTCTTTCACCCTAAGGAAATCTCCTCAATCCACAGCCCTGAGAGCCTGCTGTGAGGACAGATCCCATCCCCAGCACAGAGGGACTTGTGGTATAGGACTTCTAAGCCAGCATCACATATTGCAGTTACTTTTAAGGAATGCATTGAGCCATTTCAAACTTCTGCTCTCAGATTAGTTTTCTAAAAAAAAAATTTATAGATGACCAATTTTTACATCACTTTTTTCCAAACAACCATTTTCAAAGTTTACCAACATGACACTTGAAGGGGTACAAATTAAGCACCACACTTCCTGTAGCACACACCCACAGATGTACAGGGTTCTCACCACACCTCGAGGCCTGTATGCTCTGGGCAACCATGGTCCTTCTTAACCTGCTGCATTTCTACCACTACAAAGTCCAGTGCTATTCAGTGCACCTCTGCTCCTGATCTAGTTCCCACTAAAAATGGAGTTGCTGAGAATCCCTTAAAGGAAACAGTTTCCTCACTCCTCACTGCATTCTCTCACCATGAGTTCCAATCATGAGGAAAGGCAACCTTCATTTACCTGTTCAGGAAGCTCAGGGGAGAACAGGCAGGTTCAATTCATGGCAGAGACTTCAAAGTCTCCCCAAATCCCAAAGACATGGCCCAATTCCTTCAAACTCCCTCAGGATACTGCTGGCTCCTCCAGCTTCTTGGGCCTTGAAGAATGACTGGACACCAGCATCTAGACTGGACATCCACCAAAAGAAGCAGGAATAGCCAACAGAGCACTAAGTTCAAGGGTCAAAAGTCCAAAAGATGAAGCTAAGAATTAATTCCACAGAGGAAGCCTGGGTACTCAGGGGCCAGTGTGTGGCACAGGCCCAGCTCCTCCTAGGCTGGCCCAGGGCCACTGTCCAGAGCCTGAGGGCACACAGGCAGATGGCTGGGTTAGTGGCTGAGTGAGTGCCTACCTCCTGGTGCCAAGCTCACCCTAGTCTTGCATGTAGACTCTCCACAGAGGCAAGTCCCACCACTCAGCTGGGATGCCCCTGCAAAGCACTTACCCTGGCAATCACCCCAGGTATCCACCAGGCCTAGATCTGTGCAACACAAGGAGAGATGCACAGATACCAGGTGCACCAGGTGGTGGGGCCCACAGCCCCCAGGGCTACAGGACATTATTCCTACAGGCTGATGGGCAGAGACCTCCTGAGCAACCTGGCCAGGACACAGAAGGGCACACAGAGCTATAAAGCAAAGGGCACCCTTTCAAACTTGAGTGTTCCCCATACCTCCTCCGCTGTCTCCTGTGATTGAATGAGGTAGAACATCATCAATAGGATAATTTCATTCACAATTTTATATGATCTCTCCTGCTTCATACATGTTTGTCTCTTCCCCACACCCCAGCTGTACACTGGGTCTTGGTGTCACCCTTGTTCCCTTCAGGTGACCATAGCATTCTTCACAGGGTAAAAACTCCCAAGTACTTTCCTAACACTTTGCACAGAAAAGGTAAAAAGCAATGTGCTCTCTTGTATGGAACTGTTCTGTTAGTAGAAGCAGGGACCCTTTAACAAAGAGCATACATGAAGCTGGGCACCTGTGGCTCATGCCTATAATCCTAGCTACTCAGGAGGCAGGGAACTTGCAGTTCAAACCCAGCCTAGGGAAATAGTTCCTAAGACCCAATCTCGAAAATAAACAACACAAATAGGGCTAGTGGAATGGCTCAAGTAGTAGGATGCCTGCCTAGCAAGCATGAAGCCCTGAGTTCAAAACCCAAGTACCACCAAAAAAAAAAAAAAAAAGCAGACATGAACAAGGCAAAGGTCTGTCACAGAACATTAACTCACATTATCTCTGGGGCAAGCAGCTAAGAGTCTATCAAAGGACAGCAAGGGAAGGGTGCCCACCACTAGTGGACGTCTAGTGGATCTGAAGTGGCTCTGACAGGAAACTCACTGATGTTACTAGCAACTAAAGTTCTGTTCACACTATTGATACTCCTTAAGATATCTTTAAGAGTGGAAATGCATTAAAAGTAGTACAAACTTTAAACACTTCCCCAAGTATCTCTTCTGCAAATCAGTTTGTACTCCACGACAATAATAAAAATGGTTGGTACTACTTGTTAGCACCAGGGTTGATGAAAGTAAAAAAACTAGAGGCATTCCCAGTTTGCTCACCAAGCTTCAGAAACATGAGCACCAGGACAGACCTGCTAATTCAAAACCCCAAATACTCTTCCTAGAAGTCTCACTAGGGTTCTTAAGCAGGAGACCCCTGCTTAAGACCTCTGCTTAAGCCCCAGAAGGGGCTTGCCAGGTGCCAGGCTCAGAGCACTTCCTGTTGTCATTGTGTGCATCTTACCAAACACTTCCCACATGCCTCCATGGCAGAGCTGAACACAGCCACACAAGGCACAAGAGGGAGCTGAGGTGCTATGCATACTAAAAGGGGCACACACTAAAATGGAAACTAACACTGTGCTTATGATTACTTAAAAAAAAAAAGTCTGACTTCAGAAATTTGAAAACATCATAATTCTACCATACACATCAGTAATACTACTTCACATCATGTAAAGTACCACGGAGATCATTTCTGTGAGAGAAGCAACAAAATACAGTTACACTGAGAAGACCCATGGGATTTATATCCCTTAAATGCCAACAGCCCCGTAGGCTCAGAGAGAAGATGTTATTTACAACCTGAGATTCACAACATGAGTCAAGGAACACCCTTCCCCACATGAATTATAACACCTAATGAATGAGATAAAAGCAGAAGTCAGTAGCAAATCTAGAATGTGGATTAAAAGGCAACCACGTGCCGCATAAAGTACACAGTGAGTAGACCAAGGCAACCACTGTATGTCTATAGCACCATCAATACTGAG